GCTGTTTGAGGCATTACACTTCCATGTGCCATTGCTTCAAACTGTGTGATATCATTCTTAAAATTGGTCAGCTAAGTCTTCCTACCTTGACGATGTTACAGTGCGAAGCTTTTGCATTTTCAAGCAACAGTGTTGCCATGGCGACGCATAGTTACTTTGAGACGGAAATGACTTTTTGACAGCTTTGGAATGCTCATAAACTCACCAAAATTGGCATGCGAGTCACTATCGGCTCAACGACAGACAACGTGTGCCTGTTTGGCAAAATGGCTCTATAGCGCCCCCTGCAGCAATTTATCCAATAGCCCCCACAGGACGTTTAACCGACGTTTACAAAAATTGGTAGGCATATGGAACACATCGGGATGCACAAAAAGCCTCTTGGACCCGTAACGTAAACTCAACAGGAAGTCCGTCATTTTGAAATAACTTTGCAATTTTTGGTGATTTTTGTCATTTTTGAGAGCGAACTCCTCCTAGGGGTTAACTCCTACACGCCTCAAATTTGGCCAGCACATACAACAGGGCTTGGTGATTAAAAGTTATTAAAACACTCCGCAAAAGTCTGAGAGTGTGGCCATGGCGGCCCTCTGAATTGTGATGATATACCCTCAAAAAGGAAGGGTGTCTAACGACCCTGTACATGCTCCAATCTGCCTTAAACTTTACATACTTGATCACAGTCCTGCCCTGATGAAACCCATATGCCAACATCCATTCGCAGTCAGAGCGCCACCAATAGGAAAGAACTTGTTTTACACTTTCATGTGCTATTATTAGCCGGTCGACCGTATTGTCCTCAAATGCGGTGATATGAGCCTTTAGATGTTGATGATGACTTGTACCACAAATTGTGAGTTTACGTCAAACGGCGTATCCGTGGCGGCCCTCTGGACTTTGATGCTTTGCCATGAAAGAGCGAGTGCTGTCTCCCTGCCCTCTGCATGCTGCACTCTGCCTCAGTCACAATCACAATCCTTTGATTGTCATCATGCATATGCTTCTGTACACACAACGAAACTGCAGTCAGAAGTGTGTGTGTGTGTGTGTGTGTGTGTGTGTGTGTGTGTGTCAGCGGGGGAGGGGTGATGGTAGGGGTTTCTGTGTCTGAGTGGAGGAGATGCACTCAGAATATTTGTACAGAATGTTTGTGCAGCATATATTATACAGTGTATCTGAGTGCAGACAATCAGTTTTGAGCAGATTTCTGCACACTGTACACCTTAGCATCTGCTGACCCCACTCTGTGGTTATATGTGGCCTACCACTTCATAGCTGAGCTGCTGTCGTTCCCAATTGCTTCTACTTTGTTATAATACCACTAACAGTTGACTGTGGAATATTTAGAATCAAGGAAATTTCATGAATGGACTTATTGCGCAGAAGGCAACCATCACAGTATCGCGCCTGAATTCACTGAGCCCCTGAGAGCAACCCATTCTTTCACAAAGTTTGTAGAAGCAGTCTGCATGCAGAGGTGCTTGATTTCGTACACCTGTGGTCATGGAAGTGATTGGAACACCTGAATTCAATTATTTGTAGGGAGTCCCAATACTTTTGTCAATATAGTGTATGAGGAAAGCATGTATGACGTCAGTGGTGCTAATGTTTGATTTCGATCATGCCTGTTATCACTGTGTTTATCAAGACTAACAGTCCATTTCCTCTGCAGGTCTATGTTCCCAATATGTTCTGGATCACGGTCGTGGATGCTTTTTACCAAAGCCTTGTTTGCTTCTTCGTGCCTTACTTTGTAAGTACTCTGTGCAAATCATCCAGGTAGTTTCAAATAGTTTTTGTTCCATTATGTGGTAACCAACAAACTTCTCTGCTCTCTTACTGTTCTGTGCTGTGACTAATAGAAATAGCTGTCTTGATAACGCTTCAACTGATTGCCTTAAATGTGACAACAAGGAATCATATATTAATACGACATATTATTAAACACTTACCATACAGTTATGGTCTCATCTCACTCTAAGATTATTCTAATGTGTACCTTAGGCATTTGCAGGATCAGACGTTGGAGAGCTGTCCTTTGGTTCGCCGATCAATGCCTCAGCACTCCTCATCATTCTACTGCACCAAGTCATCGAGAGTAAAACTCTGGTCAGAGTTGCTGCTGTACTAAAACCTGTTTGATATCACTTTTGTTCAAACTGGGTTTTGTCTCAATTGTTTTATGCATTAAAATAAATAACTGTGCGACCTTAATGTTATGCATGTTTTCCAAGGATAAGAAACAAAATTGTATGTAGTGTGTGAAAAGGAATCTGTCGTAACAATCCAAAACAGACATCACCTGTTTCTTTTTAAAAAAAAAAAAAAAAGGATCAGGCACGCCTATGTGTCTCTAATCCTCTGTTTGTTTTGTAGACGTGGATTCATGTACTCGTGTTGCTGCTCAGCGGTGGCTTCTACTTTGGCTTTGTGCTACTCTTTAGTGTGATCTGTGTGACCTGCAGCCCTCCTACCAACCCACTGGGAGTAGAAACACTCCAGATGTGCCAGCCTCTCTTCTACATCGTATGTGCCCTCACTATTGTGACGGCTCTTCTCCCCAGGTACACACACATCCTAGTATACAATACCACAAATTCATACACACGCACACACACACTCTGCACAAACATATGTGCACAAGCCTCAAACTACTTCAAAGTATTCGGCCATTTCAGAGCAGACTATTTGATAATTGCATTTCAAGTCTGAATATGTGCTAAAATGGCATCAATCAAAAAAAATAGATTGAGTGCAACTGAGCAACCTGCTTTCGTCCTCAGTAACTGGGTGGTCACTGCTGGTGTATTCTGTCAGTACTGCAATGTCAAACGTGTCACTTGGTCATTTTGCATGTACGTGATCTTCATAAATGGTACACTCAATGTTTTTATTTCTTTAAATTACAATAGAATACAATTGAAACCAGAAGTTTACATACACTATATAAAAAGACATATAACCTTTTTTTTCCCCTCATCTGACATTAAATGTGATTAAACTTTTCCTGTTTTGGGTCAGTTAGGATTGCCAAAATTATTTCTATTTGCTAAATGCCAGAATAATGAGAGAGAGAATTTTTTAGAGAATTTATTTATTGTTTTATTCAAAGTTAGAAGTTTACATACATTTCCTTAGTATTTGGTAGGTTTGCCTTTAAACTGTATGACTTCGGTCAAATGTTTTGGGTTTCCTTCCACAAGCTTCTCACAATAGTTTGTTGAAACTCCTGACAGAATTGGTGGAACTGAGTCAGGTTTGTTGACTGTCTTGATCCACGGGCCTTTTCAACTCTGGCCACAAATGTTCTACAGGACTGAGATCAGGGCTTTGTGATGGCCACTCCAAAACATTGACTTTGTTGTCTTGAAGCCTCTTTCTAACTAATCTGGCGGTATGCTTAGGGTCAATGTCCATTTGGAAGACCCATTTGTGCCCAAGCTTTAACTTCCTGGCTGATTTCTTGAGGTGTTATTTCAATATTTCCACATAATGTTCTTTCCTCATGATGTCATCTATTTTGTGAAGTACACCAGACCCTCCTTCAGCAAAACACCCCCACAGCATGATGCTGCCACCCTGTACTTCACAGTTGGGATGGTGTTCTCAGGCTTGCAAGCTTCCCCCTTTGTCCTTGCAAATGTAGCAGTGGTCATTATGGCCAAACAGCTCAGTTTTAGTTTCATCAGACTACAGGGCATACCTCCACAAATGAAGGTTTTTGTCCCTGTGTGCATTTACAAACTGTAATCTGTCTTTTTGTTTCTTTTGGAGAAATGTCTTCTTCCTCTCTGAGTAGCCTTTCAGCCCATGTCGGTACAGGACTGGTTTCACTGTGGATAATGACACTCTCTTACCAGCTTCAGCAGCATCTTCACAAGGTCTTTTGCTTTTGTTCTGGGGTTGATACGCACATTTCTCACCAAAACGCTTCATCTCTGGGAAACAGAACCCATCTCCTTCCTGAGCACTATGATGGCTGGACATTCCCATGGTGTTTGTACTTGCATATAATTGTTTGAACAGATGAATGTGGAGGGCTGCAAGGTGGAGCGGTAGTTAGCACTGTTGCCTCACAACAAGAAGGTCACCGGTTTGCGTCCCTGCGTGGAGTTTGCATGTTCTCCCCGTGCAACATGGGTTCTCTCTGGGTTCTCTGGTTTCCTCCCTCTTAGTCTAAAAACATGTTGATTCTAAATTGTCCGTAGGTGTGAGTGTGCATGGTTGTCTGTCTTTAAGTGTAGCCCTGTGATAGACTGACAACCTGTCTAGGGTTTCCCCTGCCTTCACCCTAAGTCAGCTGGGATAGGCTCCAGTCCCCCCGCCACCCTATTTAGGATTAAACAATGTACAGATAATGGATGGATGGATGAATGTGGAACCTTTAGGCATTGGGAAATTGTACCCAAGGATGAATCAGACTTGTGGAGGTCCACAATTCTTTTCCTGATATCTTGGTTGATTTCTTTAGATTTTCCATGTTGTCACAAAAAGAAGCAGTGTGTTTGAGGTGTGCCTTAAAATACACACGTGGACAAAATTGTTGGTACCCCTCGGTTAATGAAAGAAAATCCCACAATGGTCACAGAAATAACTTGAATATTAAGTTAAGGGTACCATCATTTTTGTCCAGGCCTGTTTCATGAGTTTATTTTTTTAAATAATTCTGTTTAAGCACGGTTCAAAAGCAATGTCTGATTTTCATTGTTTAATTGTCATAGAGCTTTTATTTATTATTACTTTTGTCAGATTCATGGTATTTCTGTGATCGTTGTGGGTTTTGCTTTCATTATCAGAGGGGTACCAACAATTTTGTCCACATGTGTACATCCACAGGTGTGCCTCTTATTAACTCAAATGGTGTCAGCTAACCTATCAAAAGCTTGCAAAGCCATGACATCATCATCTCAGCTTTCCCAAATAGTATGAAGGCATAGTAATCTTAGTGTATGAAACTTCTGACTTTGAAGAAAGTACTTAAAAAGTCTCTCATTATTCTGGCATTTAGCAGATATAAATAGTTGTGGTAATCCTAACTGACTAAAACAGGAAAATTTTAGTCTGATTTCATGTCAGACAATGAGAAAAAAAAGGTTGTCTTTTCATACAGCGTAAGTAAACTTCTGTCTTGTGATCATGCTGTATTTATCAGCATTTTCTTCCTGCTATTTATCAGATTGTGGTCAAAAACCATCACAATACCTGGACCAATTATCAATTCCTGGCAGTGTGCAAATAAAGGAAGCAAGTCAAAACACGCTGTCATGTGTTTCATCACAACACAAAGAGTGTTAAAGCTACAATTACCAAACCACAGTTGTGAGGAACTGACGGCTTTGTTCTCCTCTGCAGACTGTTGTTTCGAGCTCTACACAACACCTTGTACTCCTCTGCTGTGTGGAAATCAGCTCAAATGGACAAAATGGATTCAGAAGAGTACTGCAGGAAAATGCAGTGTTGCACACTAAGCCGCTCAAGAGGCAACAGGGTGCCGGTGTGTGCTGACAACGCTGGCCTGGAGCCCAGCATGGCAGAAGTGGTGTCCTGACCTTCCTCCACACACACACACACACACACACACATACACATGCACACAAAGTCCTGAGGGTTAAGGAAAGACTACTGACATTTATGACAAAGAGAATTATTTTTTTAATGCAATAAAGGGTTTCTTTTCTGTCACACTCCTCCACAGCTTGATAGCTTCAGCTGGTATACTGCTCATTTTGCTACGCATAAACAGCCAAAGAACTTTAAGAATAATTTGCTGTGAAGAAACCATTTTTTAACTGGACAACTAATACTTATGGAATGAAACAGACTGAGGAGTATCTGCTGAAATATCTCACCAAGCATTTATGGGAACAGAAGCTATGAAACTGAGCATCATGTAAAACAATAAAGAGGACCAGTTATTGTAATTTCTAGCTCTATTTTGAATACCGGGACTCCCGAAAAGTAGTTTTGCACGATTCACAGTTCAAAAGAATCTTTTTATCTTGTACTGGCCCTTTATGCATCCTCAGTGTGAAATGACGAGTGTTGGCTCCTGTCTCTTTCAGGACCCACTCTCTAAAAGCCCATCTTCTTCTCAGTGGTCAGCTTCCAGAAGCCAGCACACCATGCTTGTGAGCTATACTGCTTGAGTTTCAGGAGTTTGCCTTGCTTGGGGCAGATGACCATGTAAATAAATCCATGGTCAGCATGAAAGAAAAGCACAGTAGGTTCCCTTTAAAGATGTTTAAAAATGCATCATTTGAACATGATGAAGTCATCAAGTCATTAACATTTTGACATTAGCCATAGAAGAATGAACTAGCCTCTGCTGGCCTTCAGTTTCTGCAGCAGTTTCCTTTGTGAGTTTTTGTTGTACACCTGCAAGGCTACGTTCACACAGCAGGTGAAAGTCATTAATCTGATTTTTCTTTTCTTATATATAAGTTGTCTTTCAACCATAACTTGTGAAAAGTGTTGTTCAGTTGTCACAGTGATAGCTGATCCATGAACAGAGAAAAGAGTTACCATCCACTCAAGAAAAATGTCATGCAGTGTGAAAGTAGCAAAAGAGATTTCTTGATGGCACAAACAGGAAAGAGTTGTTCTTTCGACACAAATGAGACGAGCATGATCAGAATACAATTATTACTTGGATAGAGGCATAGCAGGACCAGTACCATTTATGTGTGTGATTATTGGTTAATGTTAACTGCAGAATCTTCACAGACATGTTAACTACAGTATACCAAGTTACCTTTTTTCACCAAATCATCTTGTAGCGCATTTGACTCTGGTATCTTTTTAATCTTTATATAACTTGATGATGAACAAACACATGGCATGCTGCTTGGAGTGTGTTTACAGACCTTTGAGCTGTGGGTGTGAGCAATGACAGATCATACCATGAGTGGCCTGTTTCTGTGTGCTCAGCTGCTGTCTTTGCAGTGGTGGCAGCAGCTGGGGTGAATGAAGGATTAATCAGAGTCATGCTGACTTCATTTTGGACCAGTGTGTTTAATTACTTTTGCATTTATATTGCTGTAATCAACATTCAGTATGGGGCTCTACTAGCATCTTTACTTGAAAGACATGATTGTAGTATACAACAAAAACTGATGCTGAGGTGTTTTTCAAGTTAGACCGTTGCGTCTGTATGAGTCATAATTCATGAGTGGGCTCTACCAACATGAATGAAAATAGACCAGATTAAATCAAAATTGAAAGGTAATTCTGTTCCCAGTAACCCTGTCTGTAGTATTTTCAAGCTCTCAAAATATAAAGCACTTTGTCCACTAAGGTCGAAAAGTGCTCTATTAGTGCAGAAAATTAGTTGTTCAATTGTATTCGTTCAAGTTGTGTTGTTATTATGATTATTATTGACAAAAACAACTGATATTAATAATAACTATTATTATAATAACGACAACAATGATGATGATAACAATAATGATAAAAACTTGATATGGTTTCATCCTCTTTCCCTTATACTACTATTGAGACAACAAATATGTGTTTATGTCAAATATTCTGTTTGTCTCACACAATTAAATCCAAGTTATAGGTTTGTTGTGGATTTTGTGATTTTGCCAAATTAAACATAAAAATATTTGTTTGATCCACAAATTCTAATAATCTCTGTAATTCAAATGTTATTTTGTTCTCATTGGTCCAGCGTCAGTTGTCTTCCAGTAAATGCATTAAGCTACTCAATTACCCCCATGCGTATCACATTTTGATCTTTCTATGAAGGCCTATCTGATTAAACTGCTGTCCACAGCAGTCACTGGTGAGACTTTTTATACCGTCATTCAGTTGTTTGATTGATTGATCAAATGAATTCTACAAACTTTCTGTGACTGTTTGAACTGTTTCATTGATCACAATAAACAGATTGTTAATAAGACTGTGTGTAGCCTGCAGTGTATGGTAAAATTAACTGAGCAGTGAGTGAATTAATGAAAAGGAAATTATATCAAAGTGAAGTTTGTAGATTGATTAATTTTTTTTTTTTTTTTTTTTTAGATAGGTTTAAAAACTAAACAAGAATTTATATTATTTGTACAGAGATCAGCCCCAGCATTAAGCGACCTGCCTAATATTTTGTAAGTGGGTTGTGGGGTAATGCCTCTGCAGATGAACATTTAGACTGGGGTCTAGGGAGTTTGGAGGCCAAGTCAGTGCCTCCAGTATGTTCATGGAGCCCTTTTCAATGTGCTTTGTTTGTTTTTGCCTTGTTTGTGACAAAATTTACATGGATAATTTGTGTCAAGGGCTGCAGGGTGGCGCAGTTGGTAGCACTGTTGCCTCGCAGCAAGAAGGTTGCCGGTTGGGGGCACCGGAATCTTTCTGCGTGGAGTTTGCATGTTCTCCCTGTGCAGCGTGGGTTCTCTCCGGGTTCTCCAGCTTCTTCCCACACAGTCCAAAAACATGTTGAGGTTAATTGGTGATTCTGAATTGTCCGTAGGTGTGAATGTGAGTGTGCTTGGTTGTCTGTCTCTAAGTGTAGCCCTGCGATAGACTGGCGACCTGTCCAGGGTGTCCCCTTCCTTTGCCCTAAGTCGGCCCCGGGGTCTCCTCCCAGGTGGACGTATTCGGGCAACCTCCAGAGGAAGCTTCCCCGGAGGCATCCGAACCAGATGTCCATACCACCTCAACTGGCTCCTTTCGACGCGAAGGAGCAGCGGCTCTACTCTGAGGTCCCTCCGGATGTCTGAGCTCCTCACCCTATCTCTAAGGCTGAGCCCAGCCACCCTGCGGAGGAAGCTCATTTCGGCCACTTGTATCCGCGATCTCGTTCTTCGGTCACGACCCAAAGGTCATGACCATAGGTGAGGGTTGGGACGTAGATGGACTGGTAAATCGAGAGCTTCGCCTTGCGGCTCAGCTCTCTCTTCACCATGACAGTCCGTTACAGCGCCCGCATTACTGCTGACGCCGCACCGAGCCACCTGTCCATCTCACGCGCCATTTTCCCATCACTCGTGAACAAGATCCCGAGATACTTAAAGTCCCCCGCTTGAGGAAGCAACTCTTCCCCACCCAGAGGTGGCAGTCCACTGGTTTCCGGCAGAGAACCATGGCCTCGGACTTGGAGGTACTGATCCGCATCCCTGCCGCTTTGCACTCGGCTGCAGACCACTCCAGTGAGTGCTGAAGGTCACGGTCTGATGGAGCCAACAGTACCACGTCGTCTGCAAAAAGCAGAGACGAGATCCTGAGGTCCCCAAACCGGACACCCTCCTCTCCCTGACTGCGCCTTAAGATCCTGTCCATGAAAACCACAAACAGGATCGGTGACAAGGGACAGCCCTGGCGGAGTCCAACACCCACTGGGAACATGTTCGACTTATTGCCGAGAATGCGGACACAGCTCGCACTTTGGTTGTACAGGGACCGTATGGCTCGTAGCAGCAAGCCTGGTACCCCGTACTCCCTCAGTACCCCCCACAGAGTTCCTCGGGGGACACTGTCATAGGCCTTCTCCAGATCCACAAAGCACATGTGGACTGGCAGGTCGAACTTCCATGCCCCCCTCAGCAGCTCCGCAAGGGTAAAGAGCTGGTCCACTGTTCCACGACCAGGATGGAATCCACATTGCTCCTCCTGAATCCGAGGTTCGACAATCGGCCGAAGCCTCCTTTCCTGCACCCTAGAGTAAACTTTCCCGGGGAAGCTGAGAAGTGTGATACCTCGATAATTGGCACACACTCTCCGGTCCCCCTTTTTAAAAATGGGAACCACCACCCCGGTCTGCCACTCCACAGGCACTGTACCCGATGCTGACGCGACATTGAAGAGACGTGTCAGCCATGACAGTCTGACAATGTCCAGAGCCTTCAGCATCTCAGCGTGAATCTCGTCCACAACTGGCGCTTTGCCACCGGGGAGCTTCTTAACTACCTCGGTGACCTCTACCACGGATATAGACGCAGAAGCCCCCGAGTCTTCAGGCTCTGCACCTTCATCAGAGGATGTTTTTACCGGGTTCAGGAGTTCCTCGAAGTGCTCCTTCCACCACTCAACGAGGTCCCCAGTCTGGATCAGCAGTTCTCCTCCCCGACTGCATACAGCCTGGGAGAATCCCTGCCTCCTCTTTCTGAGGCGTCGGACGTTTGCCAGAACTTCTTCGGGGCCGACCGAAAGTCTTTCTCCATAGCCTCCCCGAACTCCTCCCACACCTGAGTTTTGGCTTCCACAAC